TATATATATATATATATAAAATCACAGTCTCTTGTTCTACTACCTGTGAATTAGTACTTTTGGTCAGTCAATGCATTAACCTTGGGGTTCTCAATCAGGGTGGCAGGGACAGGAGTACTGTGGAGGTGATGACCTCTGAGAATGTGAGGGAAGGTTTCAAAGACAAACTGTGTACCTTACAGTGTCAGCTACTGTGCTTGAACATGTGTGTGCAGTAACTAAATTTATATTCAATGATGCACACCAAGTATCTGAAGGCAGGAACAAACCCGCAAACAATTCCAGATAGCTAAAAGAAAGAAGGTGTTTAAGAATCAAGCTTTAAAAGGAGCGTATGTTCATAATTATACATGACGTACATTCAAAAGTTACATCAACATTTTGATAACCATTCCTACATTTACAGTAGCAAAAACAGCATACAGAAAAGATATAATTTATTTTGGCATTTGCTATCAGCTTGAAGTGCTAAATCAATAAATAAAAATCTGAGTCAACAGCACTACTTGAAAGAGACATAATAGTTAACTGAATTATAATAATACAAGCTTAAAAAACTTGATCTAAGTATCAAGATGATTTTTATAGCACCATAAGCTTTACCAGAACCGTAAAATTTGTAAAGGACATATCTGAATACATCCTTCCCTCCCCCGTGACCACAGAGCCTTGTTTCTTCATGATAGATTTAAAAACAGAAAATACACTTCACTAGTTAACTCCCAAATCAAATCAACACAAATACTAGGTTATTAACATTGGTGATTTTAAGTATTCTTTCCCTGCTCCAAAAACTGAAGTTACCTACTGCCCAACATTAACACCACCAAAATTTTCTAAGTCTATGGCTTATATTCAAGTCATTTACAATGAAGAGTATTTTCTGCTCATAAACCTGGGCCACTTTATAGTTAACAACATACCATTAGTGAAAGCATATGCATATCCTGTCCATTACTTAAATACACATTGGCTGCTACCCATACGCTGCAGGCATTATCATCCTCATAGGCCTACTACTCAAGGCCAGTACATATTCTTGGCTACCCACCTTGAGCCTCTGACTTTGCCTAAAGTAGGCCTAGTGGGATGGTGCACCTTTACTGTTCATTATTTTACGTAGCCAAAAAGAAGGCAATGCAAGCCTTTTCTCAATTCATGAAGCCATTCATCCAATAAGGCAGGATAAACATTTTTTACCTCCACTGTGCATCTTCTCCTGTTCACATGGGTTCCCCACATTTTCCACAGCAATTACCTTTTGGGGAAGATCTGCTTTGGGGCAGGCTAATCAAGTGCTGTGGGTAAATTCTTCAAATACAAGTATAAATAAATGAGACAAATGCACACAGTGACTTGCCTCTGAAGGTCTAAAAGCCTGGCCACTACCATTCTTTGTACTCACTATTCTGCCTTGTGTAGCTTCTCCCAGGAGCCCTCCAAAAGTGATTACAGGAGACATACAGGCACAGTATAGGAAAAGAATCGAGGCCAGGCACTGCAGGCTTAATGCATCCTTGAAGTCACTCAAGAAAAAAGGTGCTTTCCTTTGGATGTCAAGTATCAAACCACCAAAAAGCCTAAATAGGTGAGATGAAACTCGTCAAACTGTACACTAAAGGATTCTAGCTAGTTCAAAACTATGGGCTACACATGACTGCCAGTGCCTACTGCCAGCACAAATTAGCTATTTCATAATCCAGATTAAATCATAACAGTTTAAAATGTAAATGAGAATCTTATCTATTCCATTTCAGTAGTATTCTCAATATAATCAAACAGGTTATCCACATTTTTAAAAGCTGGCTAGGTATTTTTGTATATGGGCTAGATACTGAAAAAAAAAATCTTTGCAAGTGATTTTACCTAATAATGCTTTAAGTCAAATCTGTCCCACAATATTCAAAACAAGGAACAGAAGAAATGTGCTAAGCCTCAACCAAGACCACCGCATTGATACATTTCAGTATTACTACTCCAGTAAGCTGGTTCAAATTCTCTACATGCATATAGTTAGATCCATAAATAAATTTAGGTCTACTATTTTTAACAGTGTTTTCACCTGGAGTATAGAGATATGCTACAAATGGAAATACAAAACCAAACATATATCAGTTCAACTAAGTAAATTGTTAGCAAGAAATCAAAAAGCTTTTGTCAGTTTCCAAAAAATTTACAAGACTCCAAAATATTAGGTATAATTTGCACCTACAAAAAAAAATAATTATTAAAAAAAAATAATTTAATATTCCATTTCTGAGAAAAACAATAGTCTCATCTAACGATAATTCTGTGGGCAGAAATTAACCTCTCAGCTCCACATACTGTCTGCAAAACAGCAAAAGGTAAGTATAACAAGGCCAAAATGGTAAAAATCAACACAAATGTTGTAAAGTCCTTCTTGCAAAAGTATGAGAAAGATGCATTTCATTTGGAAGTTCATTATTTTGGGGATAACAGCATTGTGCATATTTTCCAGAATTTCTCGATTGATTTAATCTATACTCTCCTATGAGATATTAAGGTTTAATCTTAATCAGGAATTTCCAGTGTTTGACTTTTTTGGCAAGTATTACAGAACTAACAGAGAATAACAATGCAAGTCAACTGAAAGAAATTCCTTCAATTTTAGTTTAGATCTAAAACAAACCTGACCAAATCAAAAACATAACAAATACCACATATTTTTTGCCCCTTTATATTCCTGGATGTTCCACTTCATACATGTTTAACAAAACAGATTTACATTAATCGAAATTTTTAGTACCTAGCCCAATACTGAAAATTGTATATTCCTGCTACATTTACTATAATTGCATGCTCTTGACAATTAAAATATAAACCCAAACTTTTAAAGTCAGTTAGTTAAATTAGGCAGCATCTTATATGAAATCCTTCGCAAATGTGTTGAGAAACATTGCCACAGGCTTGAAAATGCTTAAGTGGGTTGGCATTTATAGGCAAGAATTCAACACTTGAAAAGGAAGAAGGATGCGCTCTGACACTTATACCATTATTTTTTTATATTCAAATGTCACCATTAAAAACTAAACTGTGAAGATTTATTACTTTTATTTCTTTATGGTAGCTAGTATTTAGGAAAGTGAACACACCTTCCAGTTCTCTCAAGTTCAGGTCCAGCATGATGGCCTTCTTCTTTGAGAGTCTCTCCTGTAGGAGTAGATCCATTTGGAAATTTAGGTGCCTTCCTTTTCTC